CTCAGGAGGTGAAACGACCTACCTATGTGCACATAGTCAGGTGTTGGCAGTAGCAGGGTGAGAAGTTTAGAAGTGGGACACTCACTCAATCCTGTCAACTTACACAACTCTGCTCCCATGGCCAGAGACAGATATATAATAGTCACAATATTTTATAGCCTGAAATGAATTGGCTTGGACATTATGGTGCCTTGATGCAGACAGAAGAAGAGCTGAAATTCAAACAGTGAAATGCTGGGGAAAGCATTCTGTCTAGCCACAGTCTCCCAGATGGACAGAATGTGAAGACCTTAAAGTCTGGTTGAGCAGCAGAGATGGTACTAACCTACACGTTTGCAGACTGTAGGGTTATGTTTTGTTTTTATTTGTGTTAACACAAATATGACTATATAAGTCATTTTTGCTTATCAAAAGTTCTTCTATGGCCAGCATAGTCATTATAAGTGAGATTTTAATTAAAGACAGCTCATGACCGAGTTGGGCCCTGTGTAAGATCATAGCTTTAGGAACTGGAGAAGGGAGCAAGTGATTTGTTACCAATGAATACTTCTTGCCCTTTCTACTTTGAAAAGTGAAGGCAATGGACTGGCCTCTAGCGGCAGTATTAGATTATCACTTCTAACTTTCTCTTTCTATTATTTGTTTACAACTGGATGAAGAGTCTTAATTTACTTACACTTTAGACTGCAGAGAAGGAAATGGAGACGTAGGAGGAGGAAAGGAATGAGGCAGAGGAGGAGAGGGAGGAGGAGGATGAAGAAGATTACACTTTTTGCCATCTCATATTAAGAAATTCTGTATAGAAAATAGGGGGAAAGTCTAGTATTTTACTTTTTTCTTGTAAATTGTCTACCAGAATCAATTATTTAATGAATTAATTCTACAAGAACTTGAAATTTCTATGAATAAAACAGCTGTAATGACGACAAATGCAACAACATGATGTGCTTTTTGTAACTCTCACTATTAGCTCCACATTTTGTCCAAGGAGAAAGAAGGCCTTATATCATTGGTATTAGTAATTTGATTCTATTTTAGATTACTCATTGTTACTTGGATTTAGAGTTGCTTTTCTAGTAAGGAAACCTATTTACTGGATGATGCAAAATGACTGAAAAATAATTTAAAACATAGTGCAAGGCTAGATTTGAGTTCAATACCGACATTATAATCCATGAAATCCTTGGAAGTATAAATAAATGGAAATAATTTCTTCTTTGTGAAAAGAAAATGCCGAGCTGCATGTTACCATGGACACTGGGTATTGCTTAGAGTCTTGTCCTTTCCATAGCAGTCAAAGACTATCTCAGATAATAAGACCACGCGATATTCTCAGAATCCTATTGTATTTATGAGATGAAATTATGCATACTTTGCTACATTTAAATCTGGTTCAAAAATACATCTTTGCTTGTTACTGAAAAGAAATAGTGATTCTTAGAGTCATATCATGCAAAAACCCTGCCATGGCTAGATTTGAGGCTGTGTGATATAAAATGTGTGATTCACAGGTAACAGTTGTCTCCGTGGTCTCAGCGAATTCCTGGAGATAGTTGGGCAAGATCTATTTAACTTTCCCCTAAACAAGGATTGCATGTATGCTTTCCTAGTTCAGTTTTCTGTGTATTGAGCTATGATTATTGATTAAGAAATTTTTAAGCCAAGGCTGAGATTATTTAAAGGAAAACTATTTTGGAGATATGTGCTATTAGCCAATTACATATGTTATTCCACTTTCATGATGGTGCTAGAAACAAAAGAGGAAGTAATTACTCTACTGCCTAATAGGTCGTTTCCCCTATGTTGGATTAATAATCAAGCTTGGTTTGTCTGCCAGAGTATTAAATACAGATCTCGAATAGGTTGCTTACAACTGAAGTCAAGTTTCCTTAGTTCTTTCTTTTATTTGTCTCTGTCTACTCTTTGGTAAACATTCACTGGTAAGGTCAGTACCAGGTTATATCTAGGTCTCTACCCACTGAAAAGCCTGAAACAGTAAGTCTTAACGAGGCAATTTTAGGGCTGATAAAATATGTATCTATCAGGAGGAAGGAGAAGTGGGAGAAAATACTGGGTGTTGGTGGACGTGGTAGCAAAGTTGTTACAGGTTTCACCTTGACTTTCCTTTTGCTATTTTTGTTGCCTACCTCCAAGTTGCCAACTTACATGGATGGGTTTACCATTCAACATGCTAGTTCTGCTTCCATTCCACACTCGCAAAATGATCTGGCAACCTAAGAGGACAGAGAAAAAAGAAGCAAGGGTTCCATTATACAGATCTGAGAACACCTGGAATATTTCACACATTATGCTAGAATACCAATTTCAACAATGCAACTTAAGTACTTTATTTGATGATAAAATGATATGAAAATACCAAGAGATGAGAAATAAAAACCTTCTGTTGATGAATTCATAATTTTAAAATATAATGTCCATTATAAATTGGTAGTGAAACATGCATTTTAAGTTTTGTTTTACAAAATGGTTTTCTCAGTTTAATTTAATGCCTATAATGCTCAAATTGAATTACAGCATTATAAGGGAGGAAAAATAGAATCATAAGTAGACCAAATGATTTTCGTTGTCTCCTCTGACCTCTACCCGGAGTAATTTTAGTCCAGGGGAATAGAGGTAGTGATCAACTATCTGGAATAGCTACAAAGGGGTTGATTCATTCATTAATTAAGTGAGGATGTTAGGTAATTTTTTTCTCTCTCTTTGTTATATCTAGATTATTTTACATGTATCTGGAATACATATTGAAAGGAAAATGCATAAATAATTTAAATTATGATAATAAAAGGAAACTAGGCACCATAACCAAGTGGGATTTATCCCTAGGTTTGACATTAAAGTCAATCAAAGCAATCCATCATATCAACACTCTTAAAAAAAAATTACATGCTCATATTAAGAGCAGAAAAAGCATTTGACAAAATCCACTAACTATTCATGATAAAATTGTTTAGTAAATTAGGAATAGAGGAGAACTTCCTTAACCTGATAAAGAATATTTACCGAAAACCCTGCAGCTAACATCATACCTAACAGTGAGAATGGTGAAGCTTTCCCACTAAGATCAGGAATAAGGCTAGGATGTCCCTTCTCTCCACTTTTTTTTCAACATATTGGAAGTCCTAGCTCACAAAAGGTATACAGCTTGAGAAGGAAAACGTAAGACAAGTCTTTGTTCATAGATGACAGGATGATCCATGTAGAAAATCTAAAAAGTCAACCAAAATATCTCTAGAGCTAATAATCAGTTATAGCAAATAGCAAATTTGCATGATACAAAGTTATTATACAAAAGTGAATCTCTTTCCTATATACCAGCAATCAACAAGTGGAATTTGAAATTAAAATCTAATTAAAATCAAAATTTCATAATGTAAAATACCATTTATATTATATCTAAAAATTAAAATACTTAGGTATAAATCTAACAAAATATATACAAGATATATATAAGGCAAACTACAAACCTTTGATGAAAGAATTCAAAGAAGAATTGAATAAATGAAGGGATATTTCATGCTCATGGATAGAAAGACTCAATAAATATTGTCAAGATGACAGTTCTTCTCAACTTGTTCTATAGATTTAATGCAATTCCAAAAAAAATCCCAGTAAGTTATTTTGTAGATATAAACAAGCATATTTAGTGTTTACATTGAGAGGCAAAAGACCCAGAATAGCCAACTCAATATTGAAGGAGAGGAACAAAGTTGGAGAATTGATAGTATCCAACTTCTAGACTTACTATAACACAATAGTAATCAAGGCAGGATGGTGCTGGCAAAAGAATAAATGAATAGGTCAATGAAGCAGGATAGAGAGCCCAGGAATACATGTCCATGAATAGAGTCTTTGACAGAAGAGGAAATGCAATAAAATGGAGCAAAGGTAGACTCATCAACAAATGATGTGGGAACAACTCGACATCCATATGCAAAAAAAAACAGAAAAAAGAATCTAGATACAAACCTAATACTTGTCACAAAAATTAACTCAAAATGCAAAACTCTAAAACCCCTAGAAGATAAATTAGGATAAAACCTAGATTATCTTGGGTGTGGCAATGACTTTTTAGATACAACACCAAAGCACAATCCATGACTGAAATAATTGGTAAGCTAGACTTTATTAAAATTAAACACTTATGCTTTATAAAAAGCAGTATCAGGAGGATTAGAAGACCAGCTAAGGAGTGGGAGAAAATACTTACAAAAGATACATCTGATAAAGGGCTATTGTGCAAAATATACAAAGAAC